TACTTAATCTTAATTATAATAAAATTATCATCTTATATATAAGCAGTATTAGCTTAGTTTAGTGACTATAAAAAATCTTCCAAGTCTTTAAATTGATGATATGCTGAGAAGAATCATGACTGAAAAATGAAAACAACATTGAGGGGAAAATGTAATTTTCCATTTAGTTAAATATATCAATTTAGTTAGGAGGATGTTAAAATAATACACAATGTTGAAAATTGGAAGAAAGAAAAAATAAGATGATGCAAACTAATATTTTGCTTAGATAAAATAAGTTGAGGTAATTATGAAACAGAAGTTACCAAAGAGTGATGTGGCAAAGGAAAGCCTGAATGTGAAAGAATTCAGAAAAAAAGTTGATAAAAGTGCAATAAATAAAACTGGGTAGAAAGAAAGAAAAAGAGTTAAAAGACCCCTTACCTATGGTTTTGTATTTTCATTTGATACCAGTTTTAGAGAATACTATGAAGGAGCTCTGGTAGCATAGTGGTTACGAATCAGGCTGCAAACCTTAAGGTCAACAGTTTGAAACTACCAGCCACTCCACGGGGGAAAGATGAGGCTTTCTACTCCTGTAAAAATTTACACCCTCGGAAACCCTGTACAGGGTCACTATGGGTCAGAACCGACTTCACAACATACAACAACAATGATGATATAAATTTTTTGTTTTTCTTATAGTCTCTGTAAGGAGCTCTGGTAGCGTAGTGGTTACGAATCGGGCTGCGAACCTTAAGGTCAGCGGTTCGAAACTACCAGCCGCTCCGTGGGAGAAAGATGAGGCTTTCTATTCCCTTAAAGATTTACACCCTCGGAAACCCTGTACAGGGTCGCTATGGGTCGGACCCGACTCGATGGCACTTGACAACAACAACAACAACAATAGTCTCTGTAATATGATAATAAATTCCTATCACAGTGTAAATATGCAGGGGCTTCAAGAAGTTCATGAAAAAATTCTATTATTTTTCAGTTCTATTTTTCCACAATTTTTTGAAGCCCCCTCGTGTATACATATAGATTTTAGCTAAACAAATATAACAAATATGCTAATTATTTAAAGCTTTGAAAAACAATAAAAGGGAAAATGGCTTGTGAAGAGAGATTACTAGAATATAAAGGAAATTTAGAAGAAATATGGTAAAGTAAAAGGAATACGATAATTATTTTTAAGTATTTGCTTTTCTAACAGATATATAAATGTGTGTGGTCTTATTTGTAGTATATATTTGCAGTAAAAAAAAGTCAAACCCAGGGAAAAGTTGGAACTAAGATTATTTTGTGAATAAGTGTTTTGAAAGTGTCTAAATCAGTCAGAAAGTAATCAGCTTTTTTGAAGACTAATTCAAATGTGTAAGAATGAATTTCCTGAATGCCAAAATAGAGTTAGAATGAAATAAGACTGATACAAATAATGAATCAGATCATTAAGATTTTCTGGATTATTTTAAATCAATGTTTTTATTCCAGCCTTGGTTCTGAACTAACTGTTCATATTTTTTTTTAATAAATAGGAACTTACTATCCTTGGGAATTTTGCAATTTCATATGCATTAAAGGTCAGCAAACTGCTACCCATGGGCTAAATTCTATTTTTTTATAGGCCCATACATATGACAGCACTTAACAACAGCAACAACAAACACAACATTGATGTTTGCATTTTTAAATGTTTAGGGGATAAAAATCAAAAGAACATTTCATGAAATGTGGAATTATATGAAATATAAGTTTATGTCCAGAAATGAAGTTTTACTGAAGCACAGTCATGCTCATTCCATTCCATATAATCTATGGCTGATTTTGCACTTCCACAGCAAATTGAATAGTTGCAGCAGAGACCATATGACCCATCAAGCTTAAAGCTTTCTGACCTATAACTGGTTAGTGTGTCAAACATGACTTTGACATACAAATGTTATAACAGAAACTGTGAAATTATATTTATTTTAGAGTTTGAGAAAACTGATCAGTTTTGTGGGAACAGTGTCAGATTAATCTGACTGAAAGCATTTGTTTAAAATAATTGATCCCCTGAGATCTCCTACCTTTATATATTTTTTTTCCATTCTTTTCTCTACTCACTCTCTCCTAACATACACAAAGTAAACCCACCATGAAATTACCATTAAATATGGAGCTATTATACAGATTGACTATAGATTATAAATTCCTCTTCTCTTTTTGGGCTATTTGCAAAAAAAAAAAAAAAAACATATAAAGCTAAATGCCATCCCTGCTTTTCTTATGCATTTTAAAAATGTATGTTTAGCATATTTTTGCTTTATACAGTACATTTTTTATTTATTCTATTACAGCTTAAGTATATTTCCCCTGAAGACCATAATAAGCCGTTGATTTCAGCTGAATTTCCTATTTGTCCTCACCTAAAATCATTATACTTTAGATAGGAAATTTTATACAACTGGAAGAACTATCCTGGCATGATTGAGTAATACACCATACCTTACTATATAGCACTGAAAAGTCTGAAAGGGATCTACATTGAACCAGCCAATTTGATTGAGTGAGGAAGAACAGATAGAGGATTAGCCCTTAGATGAGTAAACATCAGTATTCATTCTGACAGAAATGACTCTATCCTACTAGTTTGTCTCTGTTTGCATGTGACTCTACTTTCTTGAGACAAATTTTAGTGCCATTAGTTCTTTAATGTAGAACATTTTTTTGAACCTGTTGTTTCGTGTTTGGTATTTACTCATTAAAGCTCTGGTTTGTTGTTGTTATTGTTATGTGCCATCGAGTCGGTTCCGACCCATAGCAACCCTGTACAGGGTAGCGTAGTGGTTATTAGTCATGCTGCTAACCTGAAGGTCAGCAGTACTAAACTACTACTAGACATTCCATGGGAGAAAGTTGAGGTTTTCTGCTCCCGTAAAGACTCATAGCCTCAGAAACTCTCTGTGCAGGGTCGCTATGAGTCAGAATCAACTCCACGGCACATAACCACTAACCACCAATATGAATTTATGTAAGTAAATTCATATTATTGAAATAAGTAAATACTCACATTGGCAGATGATATCAGATAACAATAGTAATGAAGAATACAGTAAATTAATTTTAGGATTACCTCTTTGAAAAATGGGCTAATTTTACCATCTTTCACTTTATTAAAAACTTTCCCCCTTAAAATAAAAAGTTAATAAAATTCTGGGGCTTCAGTTCGACTGAAAAGTAACAGAAATCTATCTACTTCTGTGCTAAAATACAAAAAGAATCTTAACCTAAATTAGCCTAAGACATCATTTGGAGTGAAAGTGATGCATTTGTAACACTTTCGTTGCCCATCTCAGAATTGACTTTTAGACAAAAATAAAGTACTGATAAAATATCTCCTTGACAAGTAAATATCCTTATTAATGGAAAACAGATGCAAAAAAATGACAAGGCTCTCAAACTATTTTGAAAGACAAATTTTTTTCTATTTTATGGGTATAGTTATACATAGAGAATAAGCATTGCCAAGAAAATTTTTTTGTATGTGTATATAGCTGAAAATTCTGAATTTTTTTTTTTTTTAATATTTAAAGAACTGGTCATATTTTAGAAACTACCTCAAAGTTACCCATTAAGTGAAAATGATACTTTTTCCTATCAGAAATCTTTCTTTAGATTGCTTTTATATTGCTTGATACAGATTTTATAACTTCAGAAAAGTACCAAGTAAGCTTAAGACTTGCTGAATAATATTTGACACAGTTAAGGATAGGAGAAAAGAGTTTATATATTCATTCATTCAGTAAACACTAATTAAGTACCTACTACATCCTACTGATTATGAATCGAGCTGCGAACCGCAAGGTCAGCAGTTCGAAACTACCAGCTGCTCCACGGGAAAAAGATGAAGCTTTCTGCTCCCATAAAGATTTACAGCCTCGGAAACCATGTACAGGGTCGCTATGAGTCGGAGCCAACTCCACAGCACATAACAACAACAACAACATCATACTAGGTACTAGAAATAATAAAATCAGGTAGTAAGGTCATTTCTGATACTCTGCTTTCTCATCTTATTCTATACATTTATTCCCCCTGCTCTAACTTTGTATTTTGGAACTTCATGTACAGTTGGTAGCTAGAGACTACATATGTAAGCTAACTCGTTTTAGCTTACATGACAATAGTGGTTACAAATCTGGCTACGATCCTTAAGGTCAGCAGTTTGAAACTACCAGCTGTTCCATGGACGAAAGATGAGGCTTTCTGTTCCCATAAAGATTTACAGCCTCCGAAACCTTGTACAGGGTCACTATGAGTTGGAGCCGACTCCACAGCATATAACCGCCACCACCACCAATGGAAGAACAGGCCACAAAATTGAACATAGCAGAACTGGTCAAAAAATTAGGAGTTCACAATCATAAAGATTAAACACAGTTTAAAGTATACAATAGCTATTTGAAAATGCTAATAAGAGATACGTCTGTTTAGAAGAATTTTCTATTTATGTTTTTATATCTTGTACAGGAGATATACTGTGCTTGGTATAGTACAGTAGTAATAGGATAACAGATCCTGAGCTGGCTTTGACCCTATGAAGAGAATAATATGAAGGTATACGGTAACTGTAGAACCATCCTGTAATTAGCCTCAGATGTGGTTTGCTAGTGTGTTAAGTCAATGAAGATAAGTATGGCACTATAGGAAAAAATATCCAGCTTGCTGCTTTTTTCTTCAAATGAACATATTCTCAGCAAGATCATACCAGATTCTGGTCACTGGAGGAGTCATCTCAGTCATGGATTCTTTTCTGTTTAAGCCAGGTTTTTTGTTTGTTTGTTTTCTTTTTCAACCACAAGGTTCTCCTTCAAATAGCTTGAGCCTTGGGATGCTTTCCAACTCAAGTGTCTGCTTGTAAGGCTGTTTTATTATCTGGCAATGTGTTGGTGATGGAGCCATTTAAACTTCTGAGACCCTTACTATGCGATCATTTCCTCTTTAACAGTGTTTTCTTTTCCCCACTGCAAAACCAGGCTCGGCTTCCCTCGTGCTCATCTACCTATAGTGTATCTGAGGTATACTTTGCACGTGTTTTCTTACATGATCAACAACATGCTCGCCCTCACCATTTTTCTTATTTTATTTTCCTTTTGCCTTAATTTATTTTGCCTTGCACTTTGCACTTGGCTGAAAGGGATGAGGGTACCAAAGGGGAAGAGTCACCTGTTAGGGGGAAAGTACTATGTTTTTATACTGTATTTATACCAGGTAACTTTTGTATAATGACTTTATCACATTCTAATGGCCAAGGCCCCAGAAAGCCCAGAGAGCCTAATTGATCATCACCACCCATTTATTCTGTAAAGATTCCTCTCAACTAGGTAATTTTACATTAAACAAAGATTACTGTTTTAATTTGATATTGAACAAAGACTACTGTTTGCAGACCTATATGTATCTGTCTTTGATAGCTAAAGATATGCATTAAATCAGTGCCAATCCTATCAATCAATCCTTTGCCTTTTTTAAGGAGTTTTAACTGTGTGAAACCATAGCATAAATGGGTTTTCTTGTTATCTATAAAGCAGATTCACCAAAATATGATCAACAGGCTTTGAATGTCTTGTAAGTCCACATTCCAAAGCAGGAACACTGTTGAGTAGCTAAAGGAAAAGAATATATGTACCTCAAAAGATGATTAGTAAATAAAAGCATGTGAATAGTCTATGGATTTCATGATCTTATTATTTTACCTTACAGACGTTTAGCATATTTCTGCATATATTTACTTTGTACAAGCAACGATAGTTAGCATATGCAGGTCAGTATTGCCAGTTCAAATCAGAGCAAAAATGTTATATCAGAATGTCATGCAAAAACAAAACAAAAAAAGCCAGAAAGATGACACTATGTAAAATACTGTAGAACCACAGATAGTATATCATCTTTTGACTAAAAAAAAATTAAGAAAATTCTCTGAAAGGAATAGCATGCCTAAACTTATAGCTTCAAAAGTTGAATTTATTGAGTCAGTAGAATTAAAATGATGTTTAATTTTTGTTCCTTTGTAAGTTGTAGCTGTCCCAGCTTTTTTTCTCTTAATACTAATTTTGTAGAGAATTAATTTCTTCTTGAAACATATATTTTAGAGAGAAGCAAAGTAATGAAAAGCAAATGAGTTACTTATGATATCAACAAAGACTCTTGAAAGAGAAGGTTGATATTGTCTCATCAACACATTTTACATAGGTCACTTCCTAATGCCCCAGGATGATGATTCCAATGTGAAAAAAATATATATAACCCATTTCTTTCTGCCACTTCATCCAGGCAATTCTCCATTTTCCATGAGAGTGTGTAAGAAGTCTACCATTGGCATCATCTCCAATCACAGCCTACAGCATCCATCAGGGTATTACTTTCTCTGTGACAGCATGTATACAGGAGGGTTCTCAGGTTGGAATGTGGAAGTGGCGTTTTGGGAGGGGATTGTGTATGCTGTGGCATTTGCTCCATGGCACTCAGCTCTTAAAGTGAACTTCATCTGGGTTTGTTTTTCATTGTGACACACAGGCTTTCTTAATTTGTCATAAAGTATGTTTTTCTTTTTTGTCACTGTGCTAGGGTTTCCCTCTTCCTGTCGATACCACATCTCTGTGGATTCCAGAGGTGGTGTATATGTTTAATGAATGATTCTATAACAACAAGTGAAAAAAATCTTTAGGGAATCTAATATTCATGATATCCTCAGGATATAAATAACCTTCTATAATTGTTTTGTACTTAATCTTGAATTGATAAATGTCTGTTCTACAAAATTTGAGACTATAAGCCTTAATAATTTTTTTAAATGTCCTCATGTTTCCATTTTTCATGTGGAAAGCTTTTGATAAGACTACTGTTAAGTGCATTATTTATTTTGCAGCATCACTATGGAGGCAATCAAACTTTCCATGGTTCAGTCTCTTCTTTTTCAAACAGTTACATCATCTTCAGTTAACCTTTGCTCTTGAAGTAAATTCTCTTAGTGCTAATGTAACATACTGGTTTTACCAATTGTGTGCCTTCTGTGGAATTCATAAGATGATAAGATAATCCTTGCTAAAATCTATCCATGAGTTACTCAAGAACAATATTGTTTATAACTGCACCTGGTAATAATACTCAGCAAATGTTACTCCATTTGTAAAACTTGCAATATATTACAGTGTGACAAGCTGTATTTGATATTTCATTTATCCTATATCAATTAATCTTGACCACAACCCTGTCTGGAGATATACTGTCATTCTTATTTTAGAGGTGATTAAACTATGACTCAAAGAAGTTAGATATCTTGCCCAAGTCATAAAACTGGCAAGTGAGTAGCAGAAAATTTGTTCTTTCTTAAGTATTATACTTTCTCCTTTCAGGAGTAATTAAAAGTCATCAACTTTGTGTCTTGGCATGCAGTAGCCTTGTATTTTCACAGTATATATTTACCTTGTTCTGACTGATTATATAGTTTTGGATTATATCTTATGGAAGGATATAACTGAAAACCCACCAGCCCACTTGGTGGGAGAAAGATGTGGTAGTCTGCTTCCTTAAAAATGACAGTCTTGGAAAGCCTTGGGGACAGTTCTCAGTAAGTACTCAGTCCTATATGGTTACTATGAGTCAAACCTGATTTGAGGACTAGAAGTTTGGTTTGATTTCAGCATGTATTAATTAGATGAAAATTTTTAATTCCAAGAAAAATTAGAAAGGCATACTTCTGTGTAGTTTATTATTGCTATATTTCTCTTATTAGGCATTCAATAAATACCAGTTGATCACCTACTGTATGTTAAAGACACAACCATTGTTTTCTTATAATTATAATAATGGATGTAACTTATTTAAATATAATTATATTCTGCTGATTATTTCTTGACCTTTGGAATTGGCTTCACATTTGGAGTCTTAAAATATCTTGAAAATAATAAGATCAGTGCCTCAGATTGTACACTGTTGTCATCCCCTTAAGCTATGTAATAAAAGGGAGGAACTCACCTTCCAAATTTCTAACCTATTTTCAACTTTGTTCAGCAATGTTTTGGGTTTTTTTTAATCCCTTAAAAATATTGCTTCAGAATCCCTCAGTTCAAACCCAAACCAGAATTAGTACTCTCTCTAAATAGAGATAACACTCTGTCGGGGACCCGCCTCGACATTGGGGTTCAGTTCACGAGGAGAGGATACCTGACGGCGACTCATATATATCAAGAATACACAGAAAGAGACAAAGGAGACAAAGAGAGAGACAAAGAGGCACCCCAAAGCCAGGGTGGATACATCACTGATAGGCAGGCTTGGGACTACAGGCATCGTGGCCTCTGCAGGCAGCAACTCACTGCCCTGCAATCTTTACTGCATGCCTTCCAACCCGTAATGCACCGCAATCTTTACTCCATGCCTGCCAACCAGTAATGCCACCTGGGGAGGCCCGGGCCTCTGCTTTATTCAGGGGAGGAGTTTCACACCAAGCTGGGAGGGACTTAGGCAAGGTACAGCTAACATCAGTACTTTTCCAGACATTCAGGTAACTTTACATAGTACTTCCCTGGTTCGAATCCCAGGCCAGCAACTTGGATTCTCAGGCCCAATTAACATATCTATAGCCCCTGAGCATAGTTGGGGGAAGGTGAGAGTTAAAGACAAAAGCTTGGGCAGAGTCCTGCTGCTTTGGCTTCCTGAGCCAGGTCTGCAGGAGGACTCCAGACGCCCAGGTGAATGGGCTGCACCTGGAAAAGGATTAGGGAGGATGGGTTCTTTGTCTATGGAACAAAGAGCTGTGAAGTAGCTAAGATATTTTTAGTTAATCCTTTGGAGAAATGTTTAACCTTGCAACCTTTAGTCTTGGCTTTAGGAAAATATCACATTTATCTGTGGATTTTCAAAGGTTCCGTGTATTAATTTAATATATATACCTGAATATTAATATGAAAGCAATTTGCCATTAACTGCCAGTGGCCTCATTTGCTACACTCGGCCCTAGCGGGCCTCGAACCTCTGATTAGTCTTACACGGTCTGCAACAACACTCTTATACTTTTTCAACCTATTTAACAGCTAGAGTATATACTAGACATAAATATTTTAAGATAACACAGTATCTAAACCAAAAATGTTTAATAATACAGTTCCAAGTTTAAATGTTTTTACTGGTCCAAAGCAAACCCTGTAAAGGCTTATCTTTAATATCTTAGATTTCCAGGTAATGAGTTTGATTTAGATTGTTTGAAATTGTATTTTATTGAGTGCTAGAGAATCTTAAGCTAAAGAGAAGATAGCATATTTAAGTTGCAGCATACGAAATAGCTGTTCTTTATTAGCTGTTAGACCACTACCCAACAAACAGTTACTTTGACTTTGACAGTTTAGAACTTTCATAAACTTTTTCATAAACAGTTTCTGTTGAATTGCAGATAGTATTTGATAATCTACATTATCAAGGGAGGGAGGAGAGCAATAAAGGAAATGAAGAACTCAAACTTTAAATAATGCAGTATTTCATGTCTAAAAAGAAAACATGTTTTAAGCACCACAAATTAGTTATAAAGATTCTATATTGTGAAGTAATCACCTAGGATTTTCCACTTTACAAAAGTTCACTTACAAAATTTTAAATCATTGATTTGATTTATTTTAATACAGTTGTCTATGTCTTTAACCCTTGTTTGAAAGTTTTCCATGCTATTTGTGTGCAGTCATCAGGAAACTTGGAGATCCCATAAAGAAATCTATTAAAACTATCAAAGTTTCTTGACTTCTCCTCACTTTTGAATTTTTAGAAAGAAATGGGAGTATACAAGTTGATTTGTACAAAATGAGAAAAACATGCCTTTCTTTGTTTGATCATATCAAAATAAGTGAGCTCTGGTAGCGCAGTAGTTTCAAATCAGGCTGTGAATCGCAAGGTCAGCAGTTCGAAACTACCAGCTGTTCCACGGGAGAAAGATGAGGCTTTCTGCTGCCGTGAAGATTTACAGCCTCAGAAACCCTGTACAGGGTTGCTATGAGTCGGAACCAACTCCACGGCACTTAACAACAAC